GGGCTTATTCACTGCCTTGCCATGGATCAGGAGGTATATTGATACCACTCTCATGTCTGTCTGCTAATTGTAAGACTACATCAGGCAGCTGCTTGCCTTAGCAATAAGAATGGCAACTGGGGGAAATGAATGACCCAGTACACATAGTATTTGTTGAACAAATGAGATGTGATGCATGATATCCCGTTGTTTTCGGTCTTTACCAAGCTACTTGGATGTGACTGTCCTTAAAGTCCCTCTCCAGTTATTGATTAAACTCCTAAAAGCTCTATGTATCACATTTAGATTTTTTGTCCATGCCTTTAAATCCCATAGATAGAATTATGAGGCTTCACAATTCTTTCCCCTCCTGCCTCTCGCTGCAGCTCGATCACACCAGCTCACCAATTCTGCGCCACACAATGTTAAGTTGTAATATTGGAGTTATTCAGCCATGTATGTTCAAGCCAGAAACTGATTCTACAGAAGTAAATATGGAAAGCTCCGCCCCGCAAGTTGTCAGGATTGGTTCCTGTCTGCAGGGGTCTATCAGGGTTTATATGATGTAATATTCGTCATATAGCCAAATGTGCAAAGGGTCTGCGTTGACCCCTCTGCAGACGTTAATGTGCAAATAGGCCATAGTTTGTGACCGTGCAGACGGTCTACACTGCAAGTGCACCAGTTGTGTATGTGCCAGGAAAACAAATGACGCTTAAAACAAATGCTTGTTTAGAGCAGAGGCCTTGTGAGGAGATTTGTCCGCCGCCCATACCTTTTATAATGCACCATTAAAAGGCTTGTAATTGAAGTAGTTGCTGCCAAACTTTGGAGGTGCTTTGATTTGTACATGCTTTCCATCAGCAGTGCCCAAACACAGTGGGTAGTTCTAAATTCATTAATTCTGCCCACTGTGCTTGGCACACCTCAGGAATAATCATTGACACATTGCGACAGCTGAATCTATGAACAGCTGCTGTATCCTGTAAGAACAGCAAAGTCACAGCGAGCCTTTCAGAAACTCCCATAGGAGATGTGTTTGGATTTTTGTTTTTCGATGTGATGGTAAATGCAACCAGTAGCCGGCTGACATATACCGATTGTAGTTTGAATAGAATCAAATGCATCTCTACTGTCCACTTTCAGAGTCCACAAATGTCATGCAGCAACAATAGATTGACTTTTAGGCTTGTTACGCATGAAACCCCGACTGTCTGAATCCCATGTTGTTGAAACTGCCACTGGTACACTGCAGCTTCAAGGTGGAAATGATCAGCCATGCTGTTGACTGCTTATTTCACTCATGATTGCACATTAAAAAAGGAATACTTTATTTTCATCGGAGGGGGTTTGTGAGATGTTAGATTTCACACCAAAAGAGCATATTTTTTATTGCTATTGCTGAATGGGGATAGAAGGTTGTTGGTTGGGATGCACAGGATACTGCATGTTTTACTGAAATGCAATGTAAATAATTTCAAAATACATTTGTGCCAATTCTGGTTCAGCTAATATAAACAAATCCGTTGCCTGTGACATACAGACTCTCCTAAATGTGTCAAAAGTAAAAGACCACCCACACAGTGCAACAAAATGTGATTTAGCGAGGATTAAAACTATATTTAAAGATGAAAGGACTGGAGGTGTCAGACTGCCGTATTTTGTTTTCCAAGTACATGTTCAAAATGTGTGAGCAAATGCTGGCATGCGTGTTTGTACGCCTTAACATGGCTGAGCGTATATTTTAGCATTTTGTGTGTGTAATGTGATTCCGTCAGACTGGCAAACCTTTGCAGAGGCGAAGGGCAAGGCCTCTTATCACAGCGGCTGAATGGTGAGCGTCAGTGAATGGCATTGTGGCAGTCTGTATTTACACTGTTTGATACCAGATTTCTGTGGCTGAGAGATTTTGCAGCTTTTTTTCCACCATAGCTGAGAATGTGAAAAAAAAAAAAAAAAAGCTCTTTCTCACACTTGAATGTGTGTGTATGTGTCTGTGTGTTTGCATTTGCCCTTGTGGATTACATTCTACATTCCCACTGATACAAATGACTCATAAACACATCTGATGTAAGAATGAAATGAAATCATAACTGTCCCTCAGGTTTTCTGAAGGTCTTTTTAATCGAATGATAACCACGCTTCTCTTTTAGGCAAATGAGCTAAAGCTTTTTTGTTTTTACTATGAAAATGTTCGTATTAGTTTAGAGTAAATGGACCTGATTGTGACCGTCTAAATACAAAGATCACAGAGTTAAAACGTTTCCTATTGGTGCATGTAAACCAAGGATCACTAGCTCAGTTTTGTTTTTGGTTATTAAAATTTAAAATGGAACAGGGGTGGGGTGAGAAACTGGGTTGAGACGGGGGAAAATGAACTGGAGGAATGACTAATAAGCTGAACGAGAGGAGAGATGCTCTGTCGATGAAGCTATTGGCCCAATAATAGAACGGACATAATTGTCTGGCCTTCTGAGTCATCATTGCTCTCCACTGCCAGTGCTCTCCCATCTTGTTTAGACACTGCCGTTAATGGACCTTCTCCTCCCGTCCTTCTCCCCATCTGTCTTTGCTTCTCTCTTACTCCTGTCATCCCTCTGTTTTATTTTTGAGGACCGCCCCCTCTGTCTCGCCTCTCCGTCATCCTTTCTTTACTCCCTCCTCTCTCTCTGAATTTACTTATGTCCACCTCACCCCATGCATAATAAGTGTCAGGCTTGTGTTAAATTGAATTTAGTTAGAAACTGAAAACAGACCAGCATCATTAAAGAAAGAATCCATTTACTGGACACATATATTAGACTGTAGTCTGACTCACTGGATGTAGACTGCAAGGATAAGTCTGCCATTGACCACGTATCACAAGCAACACTCTCCTCCCTTTCCCGTTGTCCATGTCCGCTTCACAATGGAAAGCAACCTACTACATTGCGGATCGTGCAGTAAGACAGCAGTTTCTTTCAGCTAATTAGCCATTTTATTGATAGTGGTTGCCTCTCCCTCTGCATGCAAATGTTCCAGCCGAGACAGTTCCCCCTATCGCTGTTTTGACAGGGACAACACTGCTTAATGATACTGAGGTGCAACCACACCACTGGGCACAGTTCTGTGTCAGTGCAAGAGGATCGTCTGGCTATGTGAGACTATTTAGACAGTAATCTGAAGTGCAGTCCAAAGGTTGACTAACAGGAAATCAAATGATTCTAAATACACTAATAGGTTGTAGCTGTATATTGTGTTTCAATCTGTGTATGTAATGTTTTTTACACTACAGCAAAGGCCTACTGTGCCACATATCAGAAAAGATCACCTCATCTTCAAAACAAACAAAAAAAAAAAGTACCTCCAAGTTTTGCGCTTGTCCTGGAACTAACATTTGTTGTTGTGTAGCTGCAATGTTTGCTGACAGTTGACAGACTTTTCACAGCTAAAATGCAAAAATAGAATCTTATCTCTTAGAGGCCAAATAGGTGCAAAGATGTCATTTGAAAGTACCTGATTAGGAAAGTGAAGCAAGTGTACAATCTGCAGTTTGTGATGCTATTGAAATGTATTGCATTTGACACTTCTTTTCCTTCCTTTTTGTTTTTAGCCTTTGTTGGTTGCTAACCTAGATGCAATCATCAGGTCTAACTAATTCCCTAAAATGTCTACAAAAATAATGACATTTCAATTTAGGTGTTATATTTTGTGTCTTATGCTAATTAATGACGCAATCAGAAGGTGAACACTACCAACCAATCATCGCTATCTGATTTGAGATCAGTATAACAGCGAACATCAGCATAGCATCATCACAGGTGGCATGCTGGCATGATTGTATCACCATTTAGCTCAAAACGTCACTCTGCCTGAATACATGGCATCTTTCTAATGCCAGAACTCGAGGCGGGGACAAGGGTCAAAAACATTTACAGGAAGAGCTCCCTAATCAGCCGTTCTGTTTCCATAGTGGTGCAGGATTCACCAGAATTGCAAGGTGATATAATAATTTTGTTTATACCAGGCCAGAACACTTATATTGAACACTGACCATGTGTTTTATGACTATTTGCAGAACTGTTGTATTGGACAGTTTTGTTCTTTGTCAGGTGGGCTTCAGGAATTGATACCCAAGTGTACATGCAGGTCACGTTTTAATGAGCACCTCCCACTGTCTTTAAGGCGTCTGAGAGGGCAGTTGGCTGATGTGTGAGGCTTATCAACTCATCGGGGTCTTTCAGGCTATAAAAACTTCCACATGTGTTCACTTTCTCTCTCTTCCATCCGCCTCCACATTGACATCCGCACTCCTTTGTCGTTTTGTCTAAGTTTAGTTTTAGTTAATTTCATCTGATTTTAGTAAATCTCTTACATCTATGCCCTACTTTTCTTTGAGCTTGTTTTGACCTTGGCTACAGTTTCATAGTATGAAACATCCAGTGACCACACAAATAATGTCAGAACATTTTGAATATATTTACTTTGACAAAGTATAGGCTATTTGAGTTAACAATTTTCACACTGTGTAAACTAAATGTATTTTTTTTTCCTCTGGGGCTAAGTCAAGTATAATTATGGATAACACGGAACATTAAAAGAAAAATCTTTCCAGGCGCAACACTTTTTCAATTTTCAGCTGCACAGAGATGGAAGTTCATCCTGCAGGCAAACAACTGATGCCACGAATTTCGTTCACTAGTCATAAAAGAAAAACCTGTAGAATAATTTGCATGGTGCCTTTTCAGTGGACCTTTGTATAAGCTGTGTCAGAGACCTATTGATGTTAGCTAATAGAGACTAATGCAAGTCATAAAATAATGAATTCCTTTCAGACGTTCTGACAGAGTCAGACGTATTGTTGTTTAGCTCAAAAGCAGTGAATTGATTCTGCAAATGCACAAAACACATTTTTATTTCTCTATCTGCTTCCCTTCCCTCAGGGTTTTCCCAGCCTCGGCCCCCAGAGCAGCGGTGCCTGTGCCTCTCCTCCTCCTTTCTGTGACCATCAGCAGCAGCTCAGCGTGGCGAGGGCAGGAACAATGGGCCGGAAGCTGGACCTGTCGGGCCTAACGGACGACGAGGCGGAGCACGTCCTGAAAGTGGTCCAGCGGGACATGAAGCTGCGAAAAAAGGAGGAGGAGAGGCTGAGGTGAGATGGGAATTCTACTCCAGTGCTTTTTTTTTCAAGTATTTTGGCACAATTGACACATACATGGTGATTTGAGAGGAGCTGATAAGGAGAGATGTCATCCGCCTGTGAGCAGAGATTACCAGATGTAGCTGTGTACAGCTGGCCCAGCTGACAATGGCATTCACCGTGTATTGAATCCACGGTTAGAAAGTCCTTACCCAATGTTTTTCTTTACATTTCATGCATAAGGGAAATATTCTAAAAATACAAATACCTTTGGGGGGGAAAAAAAAAAACCGAAAATCAATGCCAAGGTACGGAAACGGTTGCAAGGAATAATCAAACAAAACCTAACAAACGGAAATAGGCACAGCAGGTACTGTATGTAAAGGGTCACATTTCTCCAGAAACCAAAGCAGTGTGCATGGACCTTTGTTGAGCCAGATGCATGACATTTAAAAAGTTTTGAAGGTGCTGCCTTTTGTAAGCCCCTCCAGAGCAAAAATACAGGAACAGAAATGTAAGGAGTAGATGAAACTGTGTGTTTATCTGCTATAACGGAAGCTGCAGATGTTGCTTTCTACAGTTAAGACTTTGTGTTAACCACGGGGCATGTCATTATCTAACAACATTATTTTGTGAGTATGCTGGTTGTTTTAAAAAAAAAAAAAAAAATACTTGTTCAGGACTGGAGCATCCACCCTGGGAGCAAAGATACTAGTAAAAAAAAAAAAAAAAAAAATACTTGTTCAGGACTGGAGCATCCACCCTGGGAGCAAAGATACTAGTATCAGATTTTATAATAACTGTGAAGGATATTTATTTTTTGTATGGGATGTGTAGCTTTAGCCTCGAGTCTTCGAGCATTATATCATAAATGTAGGCATCATTGCATCTTTAAGCCTCATTTTTACAAGATTCTGGATTTAAATTGAATGAGCTGGAAATATTTAGATGCCATCAAGATGGAGATGGAGATTTCAGTCCACTCATGCTATGTGTCTCCAGTCATTCCCTATTTATAGTGCACTATATTTACTGTCTGGCATTTGTTTGAGTGCCTCGGTTCTGATTGTGTAAACGTATCCACTCTATAGGATTCTCAAAAATGAGAGGAATACTTTTGGACACGAGAGTTTCAGTGTTTGCATTAGCTTATACTGCAATAAAACACTCTTCAAGATACGTGTTTGTCTTGCGAAATATTCTAGCTGCAAGTCCAGCAACAATTATTATGACATACATCTTGATACATTTAAAGTCAGGCCTTAAATAAGACAGCCAGGCATTTTTGTCTGTAAAAACTTTATTTATAGTACAGTTTTGGTTGCCATTTCCACAATATTGTTTTTACTTAACAGGCAGACTGGATTGCAACATCTGTTTGAAATATGACAGAATGGTCTTTGTTCAAAACGGTTCCTAAAGTGGAATCTTCCACTGCACTTATTTCATGATATATGTGCAGCTGAGGCGGGAGACAGTATAGTTTTGGGATGTCTATTCATCCGTTTGTACAGTTATATTTGGAATACCTTTTGTGATTATTTTCAAATCTGGCACAAACGTCCACTTGGACTCAAATATAAACTGATTAGATTTTGGTGGTCAAAGTTTAAAGGCAACAAAGACTTTGTGGCCAAAACTCAAGAATTCAGTTATGACAAAAGTTCACACATCTTAATAGGATAAAATGACATTTTTCAACCCAGAAGGTCAAAGGTCAACTTAACAAGTCTCCTTTTCTGGCCATTATTAAATGCCATAACACAGGTAGAGAAGATCAGATTGTGACTAGAGTTCACATTTAGGTAGATACTGAGTTGGTGACTCTTGAATGCCTACCTTAAAACTGTGGTGAGTGTTTTTGTTTCTGACACACTGAAGATGTGTGTGAAATATCCACATTTTAGAATCTGCAGCTTCTTCATAGCATCCATTCTGAAGCACTGTCTACTGTCATGGTTACACCTCCTTCAGAGTCTGGACAGACATGGACATAAACGGCAACATGACCGGTTGGTGGAGACGTACAACTGCAAGGTGGTAATTCTAGTTAGCACAGTCTTAAGGCTGTAGGGCATAAGATACTTGTCTTGTGTTTTCTGCTTGCAGGCTGTCAGGTCTGTGGGGGTCATAGTTTCCGGGCTTCAGGGCTCCGCTCTGGTGTCACAGCTTCTTACTTAACATGCAGCAAGTGCCGGCCCTTTCCTTCTCCTCACCTTCTGTCCTCACTCCTTCTGTCCCCAGCCTCAGGGGAGGCTCGACTTGGTTGTGACAGGGGCTGCTGTGGCCATCAAATATGTGCTCAGATCAGCGTTGTTTTGTTTCCTTGGGGCTACAGGGGCAGCTTTTGGTCTTAAAGTACCAGTTTATCTAATGCCACAACAAAATTCCAAATATGTTGCTGCCGTGTTTTAAATGCGGTTGTACCCTATAATTTTTGGAAACACAAATATTCTCCTTCGACTATACCTACCAGACTCGAGCATCAGCTATTTTGTTGTGGCGATTTGATGTCTTTCTTCAGACTTAAACAGTGATCCTCAGTGGTTTATTGTTCTTGAGTGGATGCCACGAGTGATTAGACTGCTTTACTTAGAGCACTAAACATCTTAGCTGTACTCTGAGGACCATAACAAAGTTTGCTTCACAGACCAGAATGCAGCCATTGGTCTGCACTGCTCCAAACTCAACTTATTTTCCCAGAAGCAGTTTCAGAGCTAAGATGGTGTATTCCCAAATTACTAGGCTGTAAGATGTTCTCCCACCAAGCTGTCATGAATGATGAAAAATTATTTATGCCTCTGAGGCAGTTATTACTGCTGTTTACTGCAGGAAGATGAGCAGAATAGTGTTGATGTAATCATAGCCAGATATTTATTAGACAATTAGAAACACTTCAGTTTTGTTACTTGTTAATTTTTTAAAAGCAAAGATTCCAATTAAAGTTTTGTCACAAACTGACAGTCAGACTGCATTGGTTCAGCTGTTAATAGTGCTGGTCTTTTACATAAGCATTCATGTGGTATATTTTGTTTATTTTTTGCTGTATTTATATTTTCAAATTTAGATTATATATATATTTTTTTGCAGCAGAGACTCTTGAAACATTCAGTAATATCTTGAATGTTGCCTTTTCTTGTAATCAGACCCTTTATCAACGTAACAGTCGCAGTAACACACATACTGCCCACTGCATGCAAACTTCAATTAGCTGATGGAAATCATATTTTTGAAGCTGACTGTGTGCATGTGTAGTGTCTTTGGACCCCTCCAGCAGGGTAAATGCAACTGTCTTACAAACTGCACGTCCCAAGCCTATAACTTGAGGGATTAATTTCTTTGACCTGAGTAACTGTACTTTTCATTTTACTGACAGTTTATTTTTTGTGTAAAATAAACTGAAACAGATGTTTTATGATTTGTATTTTTATAAATGAGTGCAGCGCCAATTCAAAACATGACGGTTCAGTGATAACATAGACATTGAGACAGCTGATACTCACGCTACATACGATGTACAATGCAAGTGTTCGGACCTTGAAACTTTCAATCATTTTTAACCTTTGTGCCATCGATGCACAAAGTAGGATTAAAAATCTCCAGCTTTGCTTTGTTGCTGCAAACAACAAACATGTTTCAACAGACATGTAGTTCATGTAGCTGAGGTGAAGAGAAAAAGGTGCAAAAGCTACTCTGTCCATCGTCTTATATGAGATTTAAACTCTTTAAAAGCTGTATTTTTGTATCTTTAGTGTTTATTAGGGGTCACCTGGTTATCTGTCTAGCCACATGTCAGATTAGATTTTCTGATTATCGGTATTGTTGTTTTTTTAACCCACTCCCAGTAGAATTATTTGGCTCCGTCCACAACACTGTCTTGCCCACCGCATATCTGATTGGTTCCACATCACGAGTGACAGCCTATCAAAACTGAAGGATAAATGTTGAAATGTTGAAGCAGTTTTGTGTTGGGAGTTTGTGTTATTATAAGCTTTGACATCAAGTTTTTTTCTATTTTCACTTCAAATTTAAATCAGTTATTAATAAATCTATGATCTGTGTTAGTGTCAGCAGAGAAAGAGAGATATTGGTAGACCCCTGTGGTGTCGGCTCTTATTGACAAGAATAAAATAAAATGCGAAAGTTGAGGTTGTAAAACCTTACCCAAGATACCAAGCAGGAAGTCCAACTTCTGGTGGCGTTCTCTCTGATTCTTTCTAGTCACAGATTTGAAAATGTAGGATTCCTGGTTGCCACTGAATACAGCATTACTATCAATATACTCCAAAGCAAGTTCACGTCTGTAGTAATAATTATGTACAGTTTACACTCAGCAAAACAAAATGTCAAACTTACACAATGAAGGTTGCCTCCGGTGCAGGGGCAGTGTAAAACTCAACTTCAGGTTTATTTATACAATGGAGGTTTGCTCCCGCTTTAGCCAGGCACAGCCATCTTTGCAATGCAGCGTTGTCATTCTTAATTACGTTGATGAGTTGCCCCAGCGTTTCTCGAGAGCCACTCATCCAAATGGCTTCACACATGACACTGCACTTCCTTGGGTCCCCCAGCAATGCATGTGGCAAGTGTGAAGAAGCTCGGATGAATGGTTTTCAAGAAATGTGAACAACAGACACGCAATCGCACACAGAGATGCCTTCCTTTATAATTGATATGAATTTTCGATGGTTGAAAACTACTGTTTACTTGTTTCATCCTCATTTATCTTCATGTTCAAATGCATGAGATTCACTTAAATATATGAGGTAGCAACAAGTCCTGCTCGCTGCTAACAACTCTTACTGTATTCCACCTCAAAAGTAAGGACATGTCCTTGGTCCGTCTTTCTTGTGAACTGTGTTTTGCATAAACCGCTTTTTTCCCCTCTATATCCGATAGAAGGAACAGTGTTTGTGTGACGGCATTTGCATACTTAAGTTTTATACAACTCAGCTAGTTAAGAGAGATCAAAACAGACTGCCACAGCCAGTCAGGTCACAGAGAGAGAAAGC